GGTCAAAGGTGAACTAGGCAATATGAAGTACGACCAGCTGCAACCTTTGGAGGAAAAACAATGGAAGATGCTGCTGTCAGCAACATTACAAAACTAATGTAGTCAAGTACTAGTCGCAGTCATGTGCTGGTGCACAGTCTCTTGACTTGATGTCCTTAGTCGTCATGTCTTTACTGGCAGACATGTCTTGTTATATTGTTGTCATGTCCTAGTTTGTCGTCAACTTGCTGACTTGACAGTCCAGACATATTTAACCTACATTCTCTTTGCGTACAGCTTTACATAACATAATTATCAATGCCATTCCAATCAGGGTAATTGAAAACTGACATTTCAAGGACCTCGAAACATAAGGTTTATAAATAGAACACAACCCAATAGCAACAAGACAGACAACAATACAGACTAGCCTTGATGACAAAACAGCCTTGAGATGCCTGAGCTGTTAGAATTAGTTGACTAGAGAGCCTGGTGGGATGCCTGAGCTGTTAGAATTAGTTGACTAGAGAGCCTGAGCTGTTAGAGAGCCTGGTGGGCTGCCTTAGCTGCACTCTTTTCATCATTCAAGTTGCCAGCAGAGCACTAGCCAGTTTGATACCAGCATGGGCCCAACAGAGTTAATTAAACACAGAACCGTGCCATAATTAGATCACTCACATGTCCCATGGGCGTCTCCACCAGACGGACCCGGGGGAAGTGGGAGAGAAGACAATATTGCTCCATGTAGGGCGGATCACATGACCAGTACCTTAACTGGGATCGATGGAGGACAATTTGTTTTGGAGGGTGGGGAAGGAATGTATTCACGTAGAAAGGGAGTCACTGTATGGCGAAATAAATCATTCAAAGTATCCTAGGCTGTCTAATCATTCACCCCTCTAATTCCAGTGATTGCACATGCTGTGACTCTAGCCTGAACCTGACCGTAATTACCAATGTACTGTACTGTACCCAGACCAGCGAGGAACAACTCACCTGAGTCGTGTATCAATTGACGGTATAACGCAATCCATTTGGTTCGTCTCTTGACACCCTTGAGAGAAGTGAAACTAATGCAGCTCGTGTGGATTATAGGATGGGAACAATCGGCTTAACTCCCCCACACGTCCGTACCTTAGTTACAACTTTGTTGGAGTTGATACATCATCCGATATCACAATATTGTATGGGTCATCTAGGCTAGATGTCAACAGTTGACATGTATATGTATCGAGTCAGACAACAAACAAATCAAACAGATGTTGTTGTCAACTAGACCAGGGGTCGGAAACCTGTGGCTCGCGAGCCGCATGCGGCTCTTTTGATTTCAAAATGCGGCTCTCTAGTTCCATAATAATTATATATTTTTTTTTTAAACTAAAAACATATTATACTATAAAAACAAAAACAACTTTAAACAAAATAAAAAACAATGAAAAATAGGTGGAGTAGAGTGTATATAGACAGCTGACAGCTGCTGGGCATTAGGCCCAGCCCCACATCTGTGCTGTGGCCTGCCCAGTGACAATGGTTGAAATGTTAGTGGCTCTTGAAAAATTTAGACATTTTGTAGATTGTAACTTTTGGCTCTTCTGTCCCAAAAGGTTGCCGACCCCTGAACTAAACCATGATGTCTCTGTCTGAATCATCTTGACATGTGTATGTATCGAGTCAGACAACAAGCAAATCAAACGTTGTCTCACACAGCTCCATGGTCATCTAGCACACTGCACAAGACGTCAAACAAAACATCCAGAGTGTATAAGACTAATCACACAAATGACGGGTGATTGCAATAAGCTTAATTGTTTGAGCCACACAGAACTTTAATTATACCTCGGGCGGGGCCATTGAATAAATTCATCTAATCAAATCTAGTGGTGACCGATACGGGAGGTCTACATGCACAGATTAGATGATCATACAGATACAACTTGTAAATCATGCACAGAGTAGGGGATCATACACACACGATACTACTTGTTAATCATGTAAAGCGGTCGAATGGTCGCCAACAATCTTTTGTTGAATACATCCCAGGTTATTCTGTGTATAGCATGGCACGTCTCATCCATCCACGCTATTCCACAACATCACATTCATCTCTGTTAAACTACAACATTACACATATCCTTGCTAATCCCTGCTAATCCACATCACATTCACCCCCGCTTATCTACAACATCACAACTATCTCTGCTAATCTACAATATCACACCAACCTTTGCGAATCCACAACATCTACACCATCACTATTCTGATCCAGGTCCTATCACAGTGTCAGCCAGTTGATGGAAGCACGTGACTGACAGACCAATAACAACTCACTAACAAGCTGACACTATCAACAACACAAAGGTCAAGTGTAAGAAAACCATTTAACACTCCCCCCCCCCCAACATCCAGCAGATCACTTCGACTTTGACCAGTGACTCTCCAGTTGTCCACGAGAGTAGTGTTGGGAGGTGGGGGGGGGGGGGGGGGGAAGAGGTCAATTCGAAAATACAAGTGAAGAGTTTTATGTATATTACTACCACGTGTGCTGCTATTTACAATCCTAACGTCTACTGTCTATACAACAAGCACAGTCCCGAGATGTCAGTCCGCCACAGTCCAGGTAAAAATGTGTACTCACCAGAGGGTAAACAAATCACAGGTAGGTGCTGTACAGGGAGACACTAGAGCACAAGCCAGGAGGGTGGCTCATGTAAACACAATCCCTGTCGAGTGCTACAGAGGCGAGTATCGACCAGTGCCAGGGACACGAGACGGCAAGCGCTGGAGACGGGCAGAGTTTGTTCCCTTCGATCTGTTGCCCCGGTTGTCTCCCTTCACATTCTCTATGCCGCCACTTCACCCCACCCCCCCCCCCCCCCCCCACACACACACACGCTCTCACCCTCCCCAACTCAAACTATCCTCGTCTTTAAAACGAATAGGACCAAAACATTAAAATGTGACAAAACGAATTAAACCATTTAAAATGTGACAAAATCTAAAACTGTGATAAAAAAGAACAAGTTCGCCATAAAAGTGTGGGGACTAGCACCGGCGATACATTTCGTTCACGTGGGGTGTAAAAGGGGTGGGGCGTAAGGGGGTGGGGGTACGGGGGTGTGGGGCGTCAGTGTTAGGAAGAAGAGGGGTGCTGGATTGGGATGAGCATAAGGTAGAGGGCCGCTGTGGAACTGTTGGCTTCCATCAAGTTGATTCATAAGACAGTCATTATACAGTCTCAGCAAGTAGTAACCTTACAGTAGTTATACATTTCATTGTACCTGCCTCTGACATAATCAGCACTATGTTCAGTCTACTAGACTTCCCTAGGATGCCAATCAAATTTTCTTTTAGAAGAAAAGGAGGGTGGAGGGGGGGGGGGGGGAGATAGTAAACACGACCTTCTTTAAGAACCTGGCTGTTCCATCAGTGGCCAAAAATATTTTAAAATGGAAACGATCGAAATGCTTCTGGTGAAAGTAGAGCCTCAAATCCATGCCCCAAGAAAAACAGTGGCCGTCGTAATGATGCCAAGGACAAGGGAGAGAAATCACTCCAAAAAGATGTTGAAACTGGCGGAAATCTAGGGTTTAACAATATTTATTTCCCCTTACACATTTATTCACTACTTTCCCTAACCATCGCTTTATTTATTTACAAACTAATTCTGACTGTTCGGATATTGGCTTCTTCCAAACAAATGAAATTCTGGTTTGGACTTTAGCCAGTTTATAAGGACAGATAAGTACACAGGAAATGGGTCAATTTTGTTGCCAAAAATAGATCTTATCCAATGCTGAGTTATTTCCCTTGCGGAGGGAGATAATTTTGTTTCATTTTGCCATCCCTTTGATGCAGTAGTAACATAAATCTTATTAGCTGATATTTTAACATTATCCCTGATAAATTTTAAGCAAATGCCTTACAATAATAAAACAGGAAATGTATGTGTGTGTGATAATGATTGTGTGTATGTGTGTCTGTAGGAGGGATGGGGTGTTGGCTGCTAAACAATATTTTTAAAAGATTATAAAGATATTTCCAATATACAAAAAATAATAGTCTATTTAAGCATTTAATTAATATACTAATAAATTCTGATTTTAAATTTAGAACCAGCTATTAGTGTGGTGACAGTGACAGAAGATAAATTTTAGAACGAAAAAAAAAAAAGAAAGAGAACTGCAAAAACTAAAACCGACTGGCTTCCAATTATCAGTTATCTCCCATTTGACGGTTTAACAAAATATTTGAAGGGATGTTCTAATTCAGACCATAAAGACAAAATATAGTATTTTAATATCAATACTAACCATCTTTCTTTACGAAAATGATATTTTTACTTTCTCATATACAGAGTATAAAGAAAGTATTGTAATCGTACACAAAAATCACATGAAATTTTAAGTTTCCACCATTTTACTTCTCAGTACTTCATCATAATCAGAGTAATGAGGACTTATTTTAATAGGGCAAAATTCTAAATAGATAGATAAATGAAATTTCACATACAAGTAAAGGATATAATTCTCTGCCTTCTATCAAATTTTGAGTAAATTTACGCTATTTCCGATTTGCAATTTTTTTTTTCTACGAGATTCTATTCTATTTTAAAAAGTTTAAGTAATTAAAAATGGTTTAAAATATTGTCTATATCCCAAGTTGCCATCCCCCGTATTGATAAATAAGAATATTGGAGAAAGTTTAGGGGAGATCACTCATGGTTTATTTTTAATAGATGTATGTATAGGTGATCAACTATCATTATAATAATTTAAATTGTAAACATTAAAAATTTGGAGGAAAAAATGTAAGTATAGCCATGTTACAAAAAAATGTTTTCACATTTTCCTGGCAGAAATGATACATTTCAGGATTTTCCTATGAGCAGGTTAGGAAAAATGTTTTTAAAACAGAAAATAAAACAGATCTATCTGAAATCATTGTAACTGAGATCATTGATGTCAAACTTATCATATGACAGAAGGTGGATGTGGACATCTGTAGATGGAGAAAAGACTGACCTGTCTCTCTGATGGGCAGACCACTGACAGACATCCTGGCCTTCTTCTCAAGGGACACCACATTCTTGGCCAGCTGCTCCACCATCTCCTCCAGCTTCATCCTCTGCTCATGTTCATGCTGGATCATCCGCTGCCACCTCTTGCCCTGGGTCTGCGCCAGCAGGGAAAACTCATTGCAGGCCTGTAGGGTAGCAAGAATAGTGGACTTTATATTCTGATACATGTCTAATGCAGGCCTGTAGGGTAGCAAGAATAGTGGACTTTATATTCTGATACATGTCTAATGCAGGCCTGTAGGGTAGCAAGAATAGTGGACTTTATATTCTGATACATGTCTAATCCAGGCCTGTAGGGTAGCAAGAATAGTGGACTTTATATTCTGATACATGTCTAATGCAGGCCTGTAGGGCAGCAAGAATAGTGGACTTTATATTCTGATACATGTCTAATGCAGGCCTGTAGGGTAGCAAGAATAGTGGACTTTATATTCTGATACATGTCTAATATACATTGCAGGCCTGTAGGGTAGCAAGAATAGTGGACTTTATATTCTGAAACATGTCTAATATACATTGCAGGCCTGTAGGGTAGCAAGAATAGTGGACTTTATATTCTGATACATGTCTAATATACATTGCAGGCCTGTAGGGTAGCAAGAATAGTGGACTTTATATTCTGATACATGTCTAATGCAGGCCTGTAGGGTAGCAAGAATAGTGGACTTTATATTCTGATACATGTCTAATGCAGGCCTGTAGGGTAGCAAGAATAGTGGACTTTATATTCTGATACATGTCTAATGCAGGCCTGTAGGGTAGCAAGAATAGTGGACTTTATATTCTGATACATGTCTAATATACATTGCAGGCCTGTAGGGTAGCAAGAATAGTGGACTTTACATTCTGAAACATGTCTAATATACATTGCAGGCCTGTAGGGTAGCAAGAATAGTGGACTTTATATTCTGATACATGTCTAATATACATTGCAGGCCTGTAGGGTAGCAAGAATAGTGGACTTTATATTCTGATACATGTCTAATATACATTGCAGGCCTGTAGGGTAGCAAGAATAGTGGACTTTATATTCTGACTAGGCATGCTGCCCAGCTTCGCTTAGGCATTTGAATGCTTAATTAATTCACCCGAGGGTAGGTCTACGACCTCAGGAGTTATGAAGAGGTTCCTACGTGGACATTTTTTTAAAATTTATAGCTCATATAAGGCACCGGTCAGTCAAGGTCAGTTTTGACCCCCTCATCGTAGACATTTCGGCAAACCGCCCCCCGTGTTCTGTCGCCCCAAGGCAAGATCCTGCAAAATTTGAAGCGCCTGCGGCGCCGAGAAGTGCCCTGTCGTCCGGACACCCAACAACTTTGCTTTATATATTATAGAGATTAGCAAATTGCATCGATAAACAAAGATTTCAATAAAGTTATTAAGGCCTGAAATACTTTAGTATAGAAATTTATTATTTGAATAGATTCTAGACCTAGGTAGGGTCTACATCTGTGTAAGTCTAGTTTTTCCGTAGATCTAAATAATCTAGATCTAGAATCTCTAGATCTAGATCAGGGGTTCCCAACCCCATGCCAGCGGGCGCCATGGCGTCCGCCGAACGATTCGTATGTGCCCGCCTCTCACTATTCGAAAGATAGAGAATTTATTTCATAAACATTATTGAAAGGTTGAAGGGGATGGAAATCGAAAGTTTGAGGGAGGGGGGTGTAAATCGAAAAATTTGAGAGGGGGAAAATCAAAAGTTTGAGGGGGGGGGGGGGGGTGGTGCAAATCTAAAGTTTCGTCCCCGGGTGACGGGAAGGGTCGCTACGCCTCTGGAAGGAGTTTGTCGATTTAAAATAGGTGGTGCCCGCCACCCTACCGATATTTTAGAATGTGCTCTAGAGTAAAAAAAGGTTGGGAAGATTCTGACGTGATATCCGGCGAAAATATTTTGCGGACAGACAGAGAGATAGAGAGAGAGAGAGAGAGCAAGAATAGTGGACTTTATATTCTGATACATGTCTAATAGACAATCTTAGTCTGATGTTATGATACATGTCTTTAAGACCACCCAACTCAAATTTCTACCAAATACTGTAACTACACATTCCTTTTATTAGCTCAGACCAGAGAAACCCTACTCCATCTTCTATCTTCAGGTTGCTATTAAAAAAAGATTAAAACTAAAAACAAAGTAGTAAAACTTAAATAACCAATCTTTAGTTGACGAGAACAAAATACCCTCAACAAAAGTAAAGTCCTTAAGGGAGGCAACTCACATTGATCATAGCATTAGATGTTATCCTGAATAACGTGGCTCTCTCCTGGACAGACTTCATATTGCTTGCGGCCTCCGCGGGGTTATGAGTTGATTCCAGCTCAGACAGGGTCTTGGTCAGGGCTTGACCATGTCTGGCTATCAAGTCATTACATGTATTCAGGTCATCCAGCTTAGCACTCAGTGTAGCTTGCATAATGGTCAGCTCCGCCTTGTCTGGTTGCTGGACTTCTTCTTCATCACTCTCTGTGGGGAGAGATCAGAGGGAGATGTTAGGTACAGGGGGAGGGGGACATGTGGGGGGAGAGGGGAGAAATGTGGGGGGATATCAGAGGGAGATGTTAGGTACAGGGGGAGGGGGACATGTGGGGGAGAGGGGAGAAATGTGGGGGAGAGGAGAGATTTATGGGTATGTGTGGGGAGAGGGGATGTGGGGGAGAGGGGAGATTTGTGGGTATGTGTGTGGGGAGAGGGGGCATGTGGGGGAGAGGAGATGTGGTGGAGATGGGAGATGTGGGGGGGAGGGGGGATTTGGGGGAAAAGTGAGGGATGGGAGATGTGTGGGAGAGAGATATGTGGGGGAGAGGGGAGATGGAGATGTGGGGGAGATGGGCGATGTGGGGGAGATGGGCGATGTGGGGGAGATGGGCGATGTGGGGGAGATGTGAGGGATGGGACATGTGGGAAGAGAGATGTGGGGGGGGGAGAGATATGTGAGGGATGGGACATGTGGGAAGAGAGATGTGGGGGAGAGAGATATGTGGGGAGAGGGGAGATGGAGATGTGGGGGAGATGGGCGATGTGGGGGAGATGGGCGATGTGGGGGAGATGTGAGGGATGGGACATGTGGGAAGAGAGATGTGGGGGAGAGAGATATGTGGGGAGAGGGGAGATGGAGATGTGGGGGAGATGGGCTATGTGGGGGAGGAGGGGAGATGTGGGGGAGAGGAGATAGGGAGATGGGGAGTGGAGATGTATGGATATGTGCTTGGGGAGAGGGGAGATGTGGGGGGGAGGGTAGAGGGAGATGGGGAGATGTAAGGATATGTCATGTGCTTCTGGGGAGGGGAGTTGTGGGGGAGATGAGAGGGAGATGGGGAGATGTATTGATATGGGGAGAGGGGAGATGTGCTGGAAGAGATGTGCAGGGAGGGGAGATTGTAGGAAAATGTGTGGGAGAGATGTGTAGTGAGGGGGAGATGTATGTGAGATGTGTGGTGGGATAAACAGCATACAATATATTGGGCATCAGAAGGTTTTGTTGACATATGGGTTAGTGAGACAACTACAAGTTATGGTCAGAACATGTTAACATTTTCCTTCAACAGCACTTGAGCTTGATGTCAAAACTAGTTGTAGATTAAAGTGCTACTTGTTACTATCAAGCCCTCTCTCGTCTCTGTGGAGATTTAGTTTTATGCCACGATTGTACTCGTGTTAGTGTTCAAAGGGAAGCAATATGAAGATTTGCGGCACACCCCAAGATGTTTTTTGTATGTTATCTCCCTTCATCTGATTTGTCCACGGTACAAGCTAGGATCTAGATTTGACTAAACTGTTAACCTAGCAGAAAAAAACACGACTATTATTCCAACCATCTAGATTTGACTAAACTGTTAACCCCCCCAGTGAAAAAACACGACTATTATTCCAACCATCTAGATTTGACTAAACTGTTAACCCCCCAGTGAAAAAACAAGACTAGGCCTATTATTCATACCTTCCCTAGTCACACATTGACCCGGTTTTTTAACCACCAGTAAACTGTCACGCTGCTTATGTAAGGTGGGGGGGGGGGGGTAAATATAGTAATTTAATGTAAGCTCGATGACAATGACAGGAATTTTTAGCTATTTCTAAACACAAAGGTATAAAAGAATTTAGCGAAAGACAAAGTTTTACTTGTCATGAGTTCGCCCTTTAACATATTTCACACACGTTTAAAAACTACACACATTCCATTTTTAGACCAAGCTATTATTACTAAATTCTTCGCCCCCCCCCCCCCCCCCCCTTCAAATGATTTAAACATTGTTTCAAAATAAGGTCAGCAGCCTATTCACCCTCTCGTCTTTCCCGTCAGTAAACGACTCATTATAGTTACCCTTTTCACACCGCCCTCCACCTCCCTCGATACTTTGAGAAACCCACGGGACGGTGTTGACACAATGCTACCACCTCGCCTGGTCTATCACACAACAGATGTATAGTTGGTGAGTTGATATGAGAATGTCAAGCGATGGTTCATGCTACATACGGCCCGGCAGCTGACTACTACTGACTAGATGAAACATGTAGCTCACATCCAGTGCCACCCCGGCATTACGGTCAGCATGAGCTATTGGGTTCAGACCATCTCATCCCCTGAAAACCCGTCTCATCCCCTGAAAACAATTCACAAAAATGTGGCCTACGTCTATACGGCTCCCGACCAACAGGGTGACAACAATTAGGCTCTTGGCTAAAATCCTACGACAATATGACCCCCAAATAAAAGATCACCGATCAGTTAGACAAGTAGGCCTACGTAAGTATGCAACGGGAGCTTAATTTCTAACGGGAGCTTAATGTTTGATGTGAAGTTAATAGCGAAGAGAGCTCAGTGTACAGGCGGAGACTATTAGTCGTATGGTTTTGTAGGAAGCCCTTAACACGGGGGCATCGTGAGCTAGTGTTTTTGCTTATTGCCGTGGAGTGTGACAAGTCGCCCGTACCGCGGGCCGCTTCTGACAGCCTCACAACAAAAAACAGACCCAGAATTTGGCATCAGTCTAGTCCCATTACATTTGCAAGATGGCTTTTTGTTTTGGCACCGAACCTAGCCAGTGCCGACTGCATTCAAACAACAGAGGACTACTGTTAAACTAACAACAAAAAACATTCTTTAACCTAGCCAGTGCCGACTACATTCAAACAACAGAGGACTACTGTTAAACTAACAAAAAACATTCTTTAACCTAGCCAGTGCCGACTGTATTCAAACAACAGAGGACTACTGTTAAACTAACAACAAAAAACATTATTTCATATTCCCATTGGCTCGATTTGTTTTCAATATAACATGGCATTAACCATTAGCTGAGAAATCAATCATTTAATGAGGCGCTGCAACATTTGAAATCAACAAATACGGTACTCCATCACGGCAGCTTACAGTTGACAAACATAGCTCTGGTGTAAACAGGGACATACATCAAATTAGAGGATGGCAGCAACTAGACTAGACTTCCAAGGTTCAAGATTAAACAGTGTTAAATAGAGGTCTTGTTTTAGTTTGATTGTGCAAAGAAATTACCCAATGGTTCGTGCACGATAAGGGGTGGGTGGGGTGAGATTGGCAGCTTTTCCAGGGTTGACCAGATAAGGGAACACTACCAATAGCTTTCTTTCACCAGTGTGGCCCCCGCGAACATCAACAGAAGAATATGAACGTCAACTACAGAAACACCCCAGTCTGCCTGTAAATCAATGGTCTACTGGTGTAACATCAATAGAAGAATATGAACGTCAACTACAGAAACACCTCAGTCTCTGTAAATCAATGGTCTACTGGTGTTTTTCTACCCACCCCACCACCCCCGCACATGCTGGTGACCTGATGGGGTCGATGACGCGACACACACATTACCACGGCCGTCAGTGACGTAGGTTAGACTACACAAGCGGTGGGGATACACGTGAATATAATTGTACAGTAATGTACAGGCTGATAGTGACAGCAGCAAGCCGTGGAAACATCTAGAATGTAGGTCGCTAAATGGCTTGTCATTGTTTACACTGGTCGACACAATTACATTCAGATGATACTTTATATGGGTCAAGGTCACGGCCGCCTGTAGATTGGTTGAACACGGTCTACAATAAGTGAGTTATATTTCAGATAAGCTGACGTCATAATATTGGTGACGGGTCAGTGAGGCCGACTTTCCTTTTGAACTAGCACTGTATTGGTCTCAGAACATGGGCTACAGTAACAACAGAGCGTAACATTGTTCACGAATCAGACTCAGATGTTATGGGCCTACTACAAGCACATACTAAATAATATAGCGTTACACCCATTGTTAGCACATTTTTTAAAATTTAAATAGATTGGTGTGTTGGTGACACACACTAGACCACAACACTTGACTACACAAACACAGATAATAAGATAGGGAGTGTAGGCACTGCTAGACTAGAATGATAAAAATGTTCACAATATTTACTATCTAGATCTACTTGGGTAATGTCTAATGTTTTAAAATAACGGCTTCTTTGGGGGGGGGGGGGGGGGGATAGTTTAAACTTTCACTAGATCTATCTGTACTTAAGTATTTCAAACAAATAACTTCTATAAATCAACTTTTAACAAGTAAAACCATGTTATAACCAAACGACTTCGTATATAAAATAACAGGCAAACCGTACCACAACCATATCACCAGCTAGGATAAATAAAATGTACCAACTAAAGCTTAAACTTAAAAAAAAAGCAACTTGGGTTTAGAGCAGCAGTACAACTAATTTAGGCCAAATGTATATAAACCCTAGAAATAATAAGGTAAGCACAATGTGGGGAGTCATGATGTCATTACATCCAGACTACAATCTGGTCTAATGTCAATAATAAGGTAAGCACAATGTGGGGAGTCATGATGTCATGACATCCAGACTACAAGCCAGTCTAATGTCAACAGGTTAGAGCTAAATACTTGCCTGTAGAATAGGATTCTGGAAGGGAGGAAAACAACAGATAAGTACATCAAAACATGGCTCAACTTTAGCACAATCTTGTCATGTTAACAGCAAACTTTTGCACAATCTTGTCATGTTAACAGCAAACTTTTGCACAATCTTGTCATGCTAACAGCAAACTTTTGCACAATCTATTCATGTTAACATCAAACTTTTGTACAATCTTATAATGTTGACAACAAATCATGGCACAATCTTGTAATGTTATGTTAAGAGTACTCAGTACCCTCCTGGACCATGTTTAGTTATAAAAAGATTTTTATTGTCAAACAGAACAGTATGTTCTAAGAGTTCTAGAACCAAGCTATACAACCAGATGTTCTCAAGAGTTCTAGAACCAAGCTATACAACCAGATGTTCTCAAGAGTTCTAGAACCAAGCTATACAACCAGATATTCAAGAGTTCTAGAACCAAGCTATACAACCAGATGTTCTCAAGAGTTCTAGAACCAAGCTATACAACCAGATGTTCTCAAGAGTTCTAGAACCAAGCTATACAACCAGATGTTCTCAAGCGTTCTAGAACCAAGCTATACAACCAGATGTTCTCAAGAGTTCTAGAACCAAGCTATACAACCAGATGTTCTCAAGAGTTCTAGAACCAAGCTATACAACCAGATGTTCTCAAGCGTTCTAGAACCAAGCTATACAACCAGATGTTCTCAAGAGTTCTAGAACCAAACTATACAACCAGAAGAGCTACAAAATCAAACTGCTCTTGTCATCTTTTACAACAGTGTACACAGGCAAACTACAAATGTATTAGCCTTACACAGTAACAAGACAGTAAACTGATGTATATGTCAACCTGCATATGCCCTTCTTGTTATTCTGATATTTAACTTCATGTTACAAGAGGGTACTGAATAGAACTCTGTTTACCACAGAAACACAAGGATTCAGTCAGCACATCACACTTGTACACACACAAACCCCATCTGATATGGGCTGACCAAACCAATGTAAAACTAACTTAGGATCAAGCAACATTTCCCACCATCTCTCTCATGTGCACATGCCTCCACCTACACAAGGACTTAATTTTATTATTGAGGTTATCATGTCCTTTGTTTTCTACAATATTATAGTGATCCTAGCTTTTTTTTTCCCACATGTGTTTGTCTAGCAAATTCATTTTACCTGAAATTATTGTATACAGGTACAAAGAGCTGATTACATGTGGAGCATGTGACATACCCACACCCCCCCCCCGTGTTATTTACAAGAACAACCACCTGCTCTCATTATACACACTTATTACAATGCTGTGCATGCACCCACTTCTCTTTCTAACATGTTACAAATTATACATTCATTAATTTAGCCCAGATAAGCTTCACATACAAATAACTAGGTGCTGAAGCAACTTTTATCATTTGCTATTAATCTAACATAAACTGTGTTAGAGAACAAACATCTGCAGCAAACTATTTAAACCTTCCTTTGTTCTGGTGAGCACCCAACCACCCCCAGTTGTTCTGGTGAGCACCCAACCACCCCCAGTTGTTCTGGTGAGCACCCAACCACCCCCAGTTATTCTGGTGAGCACCCAACCACCCCCAGTTGTTCTGGTGAGCACCCAACCACCCTCCCAGCTTTAATCAGTTTGGACACTACTGATTTATTTATTTAAACCTTATCCAGAAATAGACATGATGTGGTCAGCGCTGTATTTAAATGAGTTACTGGTAGAGTGCTTTATCTTAATGAGATACAACAGTTTAGATTAACAGATGATGTAGGACGAATTCCATCAACTCTATAATTAAAAGAAAGTAATGACAATAAATGTATCTGGGAATAAAATTGTTTTTCATCTTGACCACACTTCTTTGTAGAGAAATAAATTTTGTATAGCTAACAATGAGCTAGCTGATTACAAAATTACTTCATATGTTAAAAGATTGAATTGACTGGTAAAATTAGGAATGAACTGGTCCAGAATACAATGAAATTACAGGTCAAAAAAGCATTCACAAACTAAATAAAGAATTAAGCTTCCAGATAGAGCACTGCAGAGGTGTTACTAATTTGTTAAGTTGAAAACCTCAGAAATGTAAGATAACAGCCAAATATGGTTTTAATAAGTTGAAGCACTCACTACAAGCAGAGCCACAGGCTGTAATAACTGACAGAAAAATGCCTGTAATCTTGACCAATCTAATATCAAAACTTATTTATTGTAATCTAGAGGAGAGGCCAAAATTTCTTACTTACTCTCATTTATGCCCTATTCAAAATGTAATAATTCACCCACTTTTACTTAGGTACCAAAACTTTTAAATCTACAAAATGTACACCACATGCCCCCTAACCCTGATATAAATACAGCTCATTTTCAGAGAAACCTCAAAGTCATTCTAAAAGAATAGCAGTGACTGTTAAACAATTAAAAACCAAAAATACTTTCTCTAAATTGAGAAAAAGATAAAAATTACAATTGTACTATCAAAAGCTGAGAAATAAAAAATAACTTACCAGCATCTGCCATTTTCTTTGCTTCATTTTTTGCTAACTCTAAAGCCATAATCCATTTTTGGCGCTCTACCTCAGAGGCTGCCTTCAAGTGGAAGGTCTGAGCCCCACCATTACTGATCACAATGGTTGTGGAGTCTTCAATGTGAATGATGGCATTGGCCAGATTTATGGTGCCCCTACAGGTGTGAGCCATTTCTGCTTGGTTTCTGGAACAAACATGTTAACATGTAGCACACAAAAAATGGTTACCTCAGCAACATAGTGTTTTAAAAAGTAATATCAGTGCCAAACATGGTTTTAAAAGACCTAGTTTGAATATGCCATTGAATTTTTCACAAATACATAGCTATACTAGGAAATTAAACTCTTAAAACAAAGCTAGAGACATGCATTAAAAATTATGATTTAAATTGGTTGCAGTTCTAACTAGTACTAGTACTATAAAAACTCTTTGCTTGTAGTTTTCATTTACAAACTGTACTGAACTTTGTTCTAGCCCTACAAGTACAAGATTAGAGTAAATCTAACCAGCTAGTTAATAATAAAGTTCACATCCTCGATCCTAACTATTTGCAATTAGTTAACTTCCAGAGGTTGACGTGTCAGCTTTTCATATTTTTTTAAAGCATGAAATGGCTTGCTCAAGTTATTGAGTTTCTAGTAATTTTTTCAGTCCTTAAATCAGTTTAGACTTTTAATTTGGTGTTTTAGTTGTAGTTATAGGCTAGACTTTGAAATGGAATAGGTTAAAACTAAATTTAAATTGACTGAGACCTTAAGTTCATTATACTAACTATACTAGGGATTCTAACTCCAAGATCTTTTAAGTCTATTGTTACGATCCCATGGGGGGGATCTTACCTTTTTTGGACGTGGGTTAATTAGGGTGTCACCTAGAGATTTATGGATGGGGGGAACTCTCGAAGTGAACCCCCTTTTTCGTGGTCAGGCCAGCCCATAATGAGAGATGCCACCCACTGGCTTGAAAGAGACAAAGGGTGGGATGTTATTGTTGATGCTAGCGGGTTACCCCCCCCCCCTTCTCACCTGAATCGCCTGGTCTGGTATGTAAATGTGGGGAAAAGCCGTAGGAGAGGTTAAGTCAGGACATAGACCACTGCACCTCGACTGGACTATTTTAGGAGGGGTAGACGGCAGACTGGGGACACTCAGGGAGACTCACGGGGACACTCACGAGATGGAGACTCGACTCGGATAGCTAGAGTGAGGAGACGATGGGGCGTCTCTGTGAGCTAGTGGAAAGCCAAGAGATGTCTGTAGACTTAGAATAGGATAGACAGTTAGGGACAAGTAGAGTAGTCGTACTAAGCTTTAGTTGTTGTAGCTAGTTGTGTATATTTCTGATTGTTGTACTTCGGTGGCGGGTTAACTTTAAGTGTTGTGATTTGTGGAAATAAATAGAGATCACTGAAGTTGGCGTTTATTTATTTTTATTTTCTTCTTCTTGTTTACGATTCCCTGACTAGTTCGAAAGGATTACACTATCCTCCCATTGCTTACGATCTTTCTATATTTGTACTGGGCAAAATAACACTTTTGATTATAATTCTTTTTTTTTAAAATGGGCTTACATATTTCACAAAGAGTTTTTAAATTTAGATGATTCATTATAAGGCCCTGTAAATAAAATTAACAGATGCACTGACTGGTATGCTATTGCACACCTGTCTTTATGTTAGCCATACAAGTATTACTTCGTTTACTATATAATTAGTACGATTTTTTAAACTTTTATATGTGCTTTTTATATTCAAGAAGATCTGATCTATTTATTTTTTAAACTTTTTACCCGTGGCATTATTTGTTTTGTATTTAATTTAGGCCTATTATTTATGTTTATTAATAAATCGAATAGACCTGGCACCAACCTTTAGGCTATGTGACTAAAATAACTATTAATAACAAATTGAATTTTTAGTAGGCTATATTTATATTAAAGACAACTCAAAATAAACTTATGAAATAAAATTGTATCATGAAGTTTAAACTAAGTAACAGTTTATCATTATTATAAAAAATTCATGTGGGAAAAAAAATCACCTATGAACTATGAACAAAGCTGCGGTCAAAGGCATTATTTGGTCAAACAACCCACCTACAGTCAAAGCACCTAAAACCAATTAGCCTATACGAGCCGACCCGCAGCGTATCATACGCCGCTATTTAGTTGTTTTATTTTCTACTTTTCAGTAATTCATAATTTGTGAATTCGACAGTACCAATGCTGCCACTGAAAATATTTGCTTTAAAACACTAACCCCCCCCCCCCTTTCCCCTAACCCCGTGAAAGCAGCCTCCTCTTAGTTATTTCTTAGTTACCTCCTGTAAGTTTAAAATCGAACTAAATTATCTGCCCCTAATAGAAACTCGACTCTACGTCTCTTGTAAACATTTAGCGTGACCACAACTCACCAGACAATGTGGGGGTGGGGTGGTGGTGGTAGTGATAGTGATAGAGAGAAAGAGAGGGGACTGCAAAGAGGCGCTTGCAGCTTGTTTTCTAACGGCTCCCAGAAGAGAATTATATATATAGATATTGACAGTGTGTTTAGCATCTAGAATCTAATTATCAGACTCATGAATGATAAATATAAGCCTAGTTAAGATTTTAGACAATGGACATCAACAAGTTGACAAGAGTCCTTCCATCAGTATTGTTGACATGGATTAAAAAAAAATAATCATGTTTTGTTTTTAGATTTTGCCATCAAAGCTGGCATAAAATATAAAATATTTTTTTTTAAAGTGTTAAGACTGAAAATATTTTAGAAATTTAGGCCTAATGTTTTTAGAATCTAGATCTAGATCCTAGATCTATGTTATAAAAGTAAGTTGCACATCTAGAGAACTTGAACACATTTTTTGAGTTTCAGTGTTGCTTATTAATATTATTATTAGCCTAAGATTTATATTTATTTTCATCAAGCCTAAGTTAAAGATCTAAATCTAGATTCATATATAATATTTAAAACTTTTCGTAGGCCCTAATGTTTATTACGTCAATTAGGCTAATTGACATAATAAACATTTTGTTCTAGATCTAGATCTACTACAGACTACAGAGAATTTAGAGAACTAGGCTAAATAGTAGGCCCTAAATACTGTATTACTTTAACTTTGGTTTGCGTTTGTTTATAATTTAATTAACTGAAGTAAAATCACACTAGATTTAGATCTGATTAGATTTCTATTAAATTTCTAGATTTCTAGATCTAGAGTAACATTACCAGCCCCGGACACCATTAGCCGGAGACTCTTTTCCGGTTCGAGACACCTAATTTCGTTACTATTTGACATAGAATGAAAACCAAAGCATAGAAATACTCTCCAGCCAAAGAAGAATAAAAATATGTATTCCCTTTTTTTCCATTCGCAATGTAACTTTTAAATATATGCCCCCGAAACAGACGACCCAGTCGTCCTGGACCCGACTACAATTTTCCCGGTTTTGCCTCCAAACGACTGGTCTTTCCTCCATCCGACTAAGTCATATTGTTGCTGTTTTTTTTCAGCTCAGTTGAATAAATAATCTTGTACTATTAATATTTTATGTGTTTAGTTTTGTGTTTCAGTGTGTATGTTTTTAAATGCCAAAAATAATATAATTTATAACAATGGAAAAAAAATAATAGGGGAGATAACTCTTCCAAATAAAATGCTCGTGTTATGGTTTACTATGGGTATCGTTTCCAGGCAAAACACGTAAGTTTTTATCCTCCTTATGACTACCCCCAAAAATGTATTTAGTAAAGAAAATAGCATTTTCTATAAACATATATGTTCTGTAGCCTATCCCATTCAATTTCAGTTCATTTTTTCTGAAAAAAAAATAAACATTGTTTTAAAAAGACGCTAAGTCGGGAGGAGGCTTTGCTTGTCCCGGCAACATAAAAATGGCCGCCTACATGACGGGTTACTCATATCCCACTGTGGGTAATTCAATGGATCAAAGTTTGATATAAATGGACTTATAAATGCCAATAAATGGACATATTTGATTGCTACCAATTATAATGTTTCTGTATAAAACATTCAAATAACAGTGCAATTAGTATTCTAAATGAGAGTTACGGAGTTGTTCGTTTCGAGGCACATAGTCGGACCAGACAGAGTTACTCTAGATCCAGTCTAAGCCTAGCTGTAGCACTAGCTAGATTCTAGATCTAGATTAGATCTAGAGTAAAGTTCCACGCGCGGTTAAAACACCGGTGCGGTCATCGCCTGTTTATCGCTTCGTACAATATTTGTTTTGATGTTTTATACGAAACTACCGATATCTGCTGTAAACCTGTCCATTTCTAAATATATCCAGGTCAAATTCTTTTGTTTTTCTCCTTCTGGAAGTCGAGTTTTTAAATTTTAAAGTTTCGAGGTATGACGTCGAAGGCGATTCTAGTTCCCCGTATGAAAAACACTAGGTCCCGGGTGAGATGAATAAACCAACCAATCAAAGCTTTTTATAACTAGGTTAACTATAAATAGCTTCTACAATATGTGCGGGACACTGTACATACGATAGATTAGGCTAATAAAGCAACCTGATAGGTGAATAGGGGTGGCCGCAGCTTGGGTGTCGATTTGGGTGGTTTCACCGCGCTGCGTAACCAACGACTTGAGCTAGACTAGCCTGGTTCTAGATGCTCTACATTTCAAGCTAAGCCTAGAATCTGTATAATTTCTATTTTTTTCTGCTGTTTTAAATTATTTCGATCATCTACTTCTTCTAAATCTAGTTTGTGTCTCTGCATACAAGCATATCTAAGCAAATGTTACGTTATGTCTTGTCAGTGGTTGTTACGTCCCTTTGTTATGATTATTATAGTTGCGTCCCTTGAGTCATCACTGGGTCAACTTTTAATGTCGTTAATTAATTTAATTAACATGTTTTTAATTTGGTTTTGAAATCTATTAATTAATAATACAATCAACAACACGTTTAAAAGTGTAAAATATTTATTTTATTTATTAAACTAGGATTAAAACGTATAAAACACGATCGTTACGCAAGCCGGTTCAGATGGCCGCAGGGAAAAAAAAAGAGGGGAAAAAAATATCGCAAGTAGCACGTCACTAAAACATGAATATCTCAAATTCAATGCGTAGGAATATAAAATGATTGATACATATTAAGAGTAGAAAGGCAGAGGAATAATATAGTACTTTGGGTTTGTTTCTGTGTTAAACGGTTACAAAATAGCGCCCGATGAAAGTCGATGAAAGTCGGGAGTTCGCTATGTGTGACCGCGCGTGGAACTTTACTCTAGATTCTAAATTGTAGATCTGTAGTGAAGTGAACAGTAGTGAAAAGTGATCTAGATTCTAAATCTAGATCTAGATTAATTCTAGATTTCTAAATGTAGATCTATAAATCTATAGGCCTATTGTAGATTATCAAGATTTTAAGATTATCTACTAGACTCTAGATCTAGATCTAGATCTATTCTAGATTCTACGACTTAGGCTACTCGGTACTTGTACTCCGATTGATCATTGTTTTTGTACGACTACTTTACTTACCGATAATACGAGAGAAGACCATTCTGAAGGACGAACCAGCGTTTCTGATACCCTTTTAAGTAATTAGTCCATTTATAAAGCCATCCTTTATAGTTGGATTGGTGATGTTTTGGATCTGCCATTGTTAACGATAAATAAACATCAGATATTATCACACTACCGGCTGTAATAGACACAAATATAGATCTATACTTTTACGACGAGAAAGACAGTATACGTCACAACCATACATACTACAACAGCAGCTTCCGGTTTTTATAGTAAGTCATTTTGTTAAACATACAATTAATTAAATTGGGATTAAAAGAAAGAGTATTTGTTTAATGATGTTATTACGACATATTTTTAAAGTATTAACTTTAAATATTATATTGAAGTGTAGAACTATTTAGAATGTAGCCTTCCGCGTTAGAATACAGATTCGCAAAGTAACTTTCTAATTGTTTATTTATTTAATTTTAAGATAAGCCTCAATATTTTTTTGGTACATCAAGAAGACCATCAAGAGGACTGAAGACAGTGTCCCCCCCCCCCCCCCCCCACTCAACTCTCCCAAATAACACGCCCACCGCCCCCGAACTTAATAGAAAAAAAGTTAATTTTACATAGCAGATATATTATATGCCTTTAAACAGTGTCCGCCTCTACACCCCCACCCCCTACTCCCTCGAAAAAATGTCTAAAAGCAACACTGGTGTGCAGATCCAAAACATCGTTCTAAGGATGTTATTGTGGATTTTCATTAAAATGATGTTCTTAATATACATCGAGGACTAAGCTAATTTCGTTAATATATTAATCTATGTTGTCATGAGCAACACTGCGGATACCCACGTTCCATTTATGCTGAATGGAAAGAAAATTAACGCGGTTCTCGTTTTGGCGATCCTTGCCTAGTTATCACCTTCAGGTTCGGCAATAGGAAAAAGTGTGCTTTATAAAAAATATCATATAAGTATCTAGTTCAGTGTTGACTGATGGCTATGTGATAGAAGAGTGGTGCCTTCACAAGATCCAGGTCGCCTGATATAGTACCAAAAAGTTGACCAACATCTGTTTATGTGCTCTCCGATGGGCGCATTCGTGTTTCCATTCAAAGGGTAAGATGGTTGGAAACTATTGTGACTGCAACAACTACCGTTGTATAAGGGGTCGTCCATAAATGACGTCAAACTCGTAGGGGGGAGTCCGTAATTTTGTGACGGTGTGTGATGAGGGGAAGGGGGGTTCAGATGGTGGGACGTCACACTTTTGCATTATAAAAAAGCAATGTTAGAAAATGAATTTTAGCCGTTATTTCGCGTTTTAGAAAACTGTTTTAATAAATTGTAATAGGAATTTATTAAAATACTCTATGTTGAGAGAGCTCAGGCAAAATTTTGGAAAAATATCGATGTTTTAAGAAAAATTCAACTGCAATTTTTAGGGGGGGGGGGGTTGTATGCTGAGGTGTGACGTAATTTTAGAGGGGGTCTGGCTTTTTGTGACGATATGTAACGGAGGGAATGGGGAGAGGTTAAAAAAGCTTAATTAACTGGGCGTCCATAAACGACATCGCTGACTTCTTAAAACGAATGTTACCGTTACCTCTTCTCTCCCAATCGTCACACTACGTGAATAAATAATGTTCCCGGGCGCCGACCCTATGGGCGCCAAAAAAAAAAGCTAATTTTAGCTACTTTTCATTAAAAAACATAAAAAATGGGGGTGGGCGCCAAATTGAAAGTTTGTCCCCGGGTGCTGGGAGGGCTCGCTACGCCTCTGCCAAACACTTCGACCTCTATTGTTGTTGTCGAACTTGAAGACGCCCAGCTAGGAAAATATAATATCGCAATTTTTGTCATATTTGAATGATATTTTTGGCGATCTGAAATAATTTTAATGTTTTTCTCTCCCGCCACGAATATTTCTTCTTTACAGGTTTTCTTTCCATTTAATAATCTCAAATAATTCTAAGCACCGCTGTTTTGTTGTGGTGGCAACATATGTACATTGTTTAGTTTGATTACTTTTGGTTAAATAAAATAATGATTAATATAAAGTTTCTTCTCTTGCATATGATTTGTAATCGTAGTTACTATCTAATTTGGCTTTTCTAATAGGTATTGGTAACCTATGTTATATTAAATGTATCGGATTTTTAGCTATGGGGTCATCCATAAATAACGTCACACTCGTAGGAGGAGGGGGGGGGGTCAGTAATTTTGTGACGGTGTGTGATGAGGGGGAGGGTTCAGATGGTGTGACGTCACATTTTTGCATTATAAAAAAGCAATGTTAGAAAACAAATTTTAGACGTTATTTCGCGTTTTAGAAAACTTTCAATAAATTGTAATAGGAATTGATTAAAATACTCTATTTTGACAGAGTTCAGACACGATTTTGGAAAACCATCGATGTTTTAAGAAAAATTCAACTTCAATTTTGAGGGGGGTTGTAGGCTGAGGTGTGACGTCATTTTAGGGGGAGGGGGTCTGGCTTTTTCTCAAACAAGTGCAACATTAAAATATATAGGCCTATAATTCAGGGGTAACGGGTACCGACGGCTAGTAATTATATAAAAAGCTTATTTTTAAAACGTTTTTATTATTGTTTATTCAATAATTTAAAATTCTTAAGACATTAATTATTAATTGCTTGACTAACAACAGTTGCATACCAAATGCACACAATGTGTGTATAATAATAGCGGGAAAATTTGTACTTTATTAAAAAAAAATGCACTTAATTCTTTACAGAAATTTAAAAAAAAATCATCCAGTTAAGTAAAATTTGAAGTCACATTGCATTGTTATCGGATCTTGACCAGAGTTTCTTCCAGACATCTCTTCGGGAGGGGGGAGGGGGACGACGACGACGACGACGGAACACCCCCGAAGAAAGTCTACCGCCCCCCCCCCCCCCCCGAACGAACTAAAATTTATATAGAAAATATAATATACTTTTAACTTTTAAAAAATCGATAGCAGTGGTAGAAATTTCGCAAGCTAGTTTTCACATATGACGAAGCACGACAAAAGAATAAAAATCATGAGCAAGCAAGTTAGATAACAGCTTGTAAAAATAAAGCGTATTAGTAATAAGCTTTTTATTTAATTATGCACTTAAAAGAAGAACATAAATCAGGAAGAAAATAAATTATTTCCTTAAAATATTTAACGAAGTACCACTATTTGTCTATTTGAATATATAACTAAAAAGAAAAACTTGCCCTTCTATATAACGTATTGAATTACGTAATTAAGATTTAATATTTTAGAGTTTTAAGAAAGAATTGCCACAGAGAGACATTTTAAATGACAGACAAAAATGGTAGGGCCTAGGGCCCAGAGTTTCTTCCAGGCATCTCTTCGGGGGGGGGGGGGGGGGGGGGGCTTAAAAATTCTACCGCCCCCCCCCCCCCCGTACGAAATGAAATTTATATAATTTATATAGAAAATATATACTTTTTACAGTGTCCGCCCCCTCCCCCCCCCCCGAAGAAAGTGTACCACCACTCCAAAAATTTCAAGTGCCCCCCCCCCCCCCCCCCCCGGAGAAAAAAAAGTCTGGAAGAAACACTGCTAGGGTCTTTATCTGTCCAGGAAAAATAATAAATCGTATGAATGTTACTTTTTTATTACACGAATTGTCTCCCTTGCAGCTCTAGTAGCAACCATATTTTCTATCTTAAAAGGGCCAAAGTTCATAGGTCAAAGTGGAACTCTTGTATTAATAGAAACGATCTAAAGAAACAGCCGTTATTTGGTGTGAACGTTGCAAGTGCTGGTTGCATACACTGAGATTTTCATCGTATAATATTAAAGCAGTTAGTCTAGAGTCTAGATCTAATCTCTATAATATATTAAGAATGTCAGCGGCAGAATTAGCACCTGGAAAATGGGACTTTGAAAAGTCCGAAAATTTTGATGAATACATGAAAGCACTTGGTACGTAGAGTAGACTGAGTAGAGAGTAGAGAGTGTAGAGTGTATACTAATACTAGTGAGTAGTGTAGTCTAAAAAACTGTCTAGTCTAGTACAGTAGTTAGTGTAGTAGTCTAGTCTAGCTAGTCTAGAGTTATGGTAATCTATCGTTTTAGGTACGTAAAATCGCCTGTGACTTAGTAACTAGTAATGTGAAAAACAGGTGACTCCTTAAATTTTAATAATTATTTCACATTTTGAGGAGGACTTATGCTTTGAAAAATACAAAAATATTTCATGGTTTCATTTAGCGGCTTTAGCCTGTGTACCTGTTTTTAAACAATCGAATTAAAACTTTTCAGTACAACATACCTCTATTAAAGTTTAAAGCCTTGACAATGAGGTAACGTTTTCGTACATTACAAGCTGTGGGCGATTTTACGTACCTAAAACAATAGATTACCAGAGTTACTTATTACTAGATTACAATTTACATTATTAAAAAAATAATTATTTATTAGATTAGGCCTCAGTCAACTTGAGTTACTAACTTATTAAGTAGCCTAATATAATATTAATTAAGAGTTGGTAAAACTCCATTTTAGCGTATTTTATTCGCCACTTCACATTCACCTCCAGTTGAGCGTATTTTATTATAAACATAACCGAAACACACAAAAACGTTAGGAAAACACTAGGATTAGAGCTAGATCTAGATTTTTTTTTTATATGAATTGAATGTGAGTTTTAATTAGAAAAGGTAAAATAAAAACACAACATAAAAAAAATAGGACAATTCCAATTAAATACCGTGTGATCGTCAGCGGGAGAAAAATCAAGGGTTCACCGTGAGTTCACATTGACTTAAATTATTAGCATACGTCATAAGTCATAGCTTGGGCAATAGCTATTTGAAATGGTGTTGGCCTCAGTTTTGGGGTCATTGTGAGTTCATAAAAGTTTATTTATAGCATTCAATATTCCAAATTTGGATTTTTCTCAATTTTTGACAAAAGTAAATTATCAAAACTAAATCAAAACTTCATAAAGAAATAAGCTCAATTTTTCCTAACGTTTTTGTGTGTTTCGGTTGTGTTTATAATAAAATACGCTCAACTGGAATAAAATAACGCTAAAATGGAGTTTTACCTTAAGAGTTCTAGATCTAGAACCTAGATAGTGAAGTAGATAGGCCTATCTATGGCTATGGCCTATTCAATATTGTAAAAAAAAAAATTTCTCTCTTTTCGTCACGAGTGGGAAAAAAAGTCAAATTTTACAAAATAATTCTGTTCGAACAGAAGACAAAATTTAAACTGGCGAGTGCCTTTGTTAAGAGTGAATGACTCACACTTAACATCACGAGCCTGCTTATTAATTTATTTGGAATATAGGGCCTAGGCCTATTTAATATATATATATATTAGTCTATGGGATTTTCAGCCCTATTCCCTACACTATACAGTGACTATACCTACAACAGTAGCGTACGCAGGGGGGGAGCAGGGGGAGCGGCCGCTCCCCCTCTGGCCATTTTCAGCAAAGTGGCGCCTTTTTGGAAACTTTTTAAACTCTTTTAAACAATGATATTTGTTAAAAAAATATTTTTGGTCGGAACATCGATGTAAATCACAAGATTTCTTTTCATGCAGCAATTAAGCATTATTGTACTAGTCTAGTAGTGTCTACGTTTACAACACGTATTAACAGCTACATCAGCTTGCCATTCTAAAAATAACCATTACGATGCATTGCAATGTTTAAAAAACCTCTACGGTAGTACCACTTGGCAAGAGGGGTGTTAAGTTTAAGGCAACTGTATAATGTATTTGCTTACGAATAATTGAATTAGAAAATGTTATACATAAAACTTCACACATAATTACTTTATATATACAGTTTGAATCGTGTGATTAACTTTTTAAAAAATACAATACAGAAACAAATACAACTGATGTGGCACCTCTATTTAAATTTACTTATGAGCAAACTGCGTAGTGGTGGGGAAATTTTGACAAGGTCAACAATGTCATCACGATGAAGTAGTAGTATTATGACAATTTGGGCGATAGTGATTATGATTACAAACTATATGAAACAATTACAACCCCCCCCCCCTCTCCCATGGACCCTTCTGTAAAAAAATATTGTCATAATACCACTGCTACTTATTTAAATCTATTTCTGTAATATATATTTGTGTAATATATATTTGTGTAATATATATGTATGTTTAGAACAGTCATCTAAAAACTGACGCTATGTTCACTCTGAGTTGGTGTAGAGCGACATTAATGTCACACCTAGGTATACGCTGGGTTGGATAATTGAACGGACAGTGATGAATGAAGTTGAACCCCCCCCCCCCCCCCCTCAACCCACCCTGAACTGATCTGTTAAGTACATGTAGAAAAACGCGTAATGATGTACCAACGCACCATGCCGCCAGAAAATTAGCTTTTAAACGTAAAACTCTGTGAATATTGTTTTTGCAATAACCAGTAAAAAGGTGTGTGATCAATACAGTGATCCAACTCATACCTATCACTATGTTAAAAAATTATCTTTAAAGTACACAAAGAAGCAGTAGTTAATTAAAAATATATGATCTGAACTAAAAGACCAATTTCTAGTTAAATGCAGGATGTTATTCCGAATGGTTTTCTTTTATCTTCTTCTTCTTGTTTGGGGTTTAAAGTCCGATTTCAAACTTACGATTATACGAAAAGCGTGGTTTTATACCAACTCTGAATTTAAAAACTGTTATTATGCTGTAATATTTTGGCATTTATGATGACGATATATTAAATTTTGATTATAGACAAAAATATTTTGTAAACACGAATAGTGTTAAGCAATTTCATTATATACTAAAGTAATTATTTAATTTGTTGTGACATTTATAATTAAATGAGTAGATATATACATATTTATAGTAAGAGAGTGATAATTTCCCCTATTTCACTTGTCTTAATAATTTCCCAGGAATTATTATGTAAGAAATTTTTTTTACAAGAATTACAAAACAGATTATGGTACGTTCATTGTTTTTGGTTGTAGTGTGTGAATATATTTATATATTATTTTTTGTTTAGATTGATACAATTTTTGTTTTGTCTGCCTACATTGTGTGTGTTTTCTTATTTCTTCAGAGTGCTACTTTCAATTTATTTTACATCATAGCGAAGTAATGACATACAGCTAGTAATATATATATATATATATATATATATATATATATATATATATATATATATATATATATAAAATACACGTATATAGAACGTGTTAAAAATTCGGCGCCTTTTTTTGCTCTTTTCGCTCCCCCTACAACGAAAACCTGGATACGCCTCTGACCTACAAATTTACAAAAGTAGCAAAAGTTATTTTATTATAATTAAATTTGGCATGAAGATGCCTATAGTTATATATAGTATAGATTATTATACTTTTATAGTCAATTATAGATTACTATAGATATCAATGCAGATAGACCTAAATAATGCTAATAGGTACTTTTAGGACTTACTAGAACTAGAGTGTAAAGTATAATTATTAATTAGGCCGATTCTAGCCGGAAAAAGATATGCATGCTCAATGAAGAGAAACTACCACCTGCATTTGCGGTGATGTTTTCAATGGTATTGCACATGCTTGTGTTAACAAACTGCAGAACCCTAATCCTAGCGCAGGTTACTGCGCGTGCCCAGAACTATTGATTTACTGCCGAAAAATCTTTTTCTGAGTAGTCACTTTGTATTAATTATTAATCATTAGATCTAACTAATAGTTTGATACACTAGATTTAGACATTCTAGATCTACATTTTCTATTAAGTTTGGCCCATTGGCACTTTGCTCAACAAATAGGCCTATTTTTTTTTTTTTGTACTTGTAAATTACTGTAAACCTATGTTGCTGAAACTTGACCTCTCTCCACCTTAAAATAAAATGGAATGACCAGTTTTATTTTTATTAATTAATTAGGCCTAATGATGATGATATCTAAATTCCCACCTAAAATTAAAATTACGTTTGAAGTACAGTGTAATATACTGTGGATCTCTGTACCATAGTTGTATGTTTAATGTTTATTAGTAGTGCCATCATGAAAATCACTAACGAAATAGAGTCTAGATCTATAGGCCTACTGCTTTAAATTTAATGATTGTTTTCTTTGGAGTACTAGATCTAGATTTTGGACAATCATTTTCTAAGAAGATGCAATCAGTATGTTGTATATTCAATAGATATAGTCACACTCCTGGGTGGGAGGAAATATGGTTGGACATAGTGATGAAGGGGTTGGGACAGGAATAGTGATGTGACTCTTATATGTGTTAAAGTTATTTGTTAAATTGAATATTTAAAGTTATTTAATAATTTTTAAATTGTAATGAAAACTGATCCAATATTTTTAATAGTTAATGCTGACTTATTTAATATTTTATAAGGAACAAATGGAATTGGAAGGAGTGGGTATTCTGAAGTGTGTGTTAAAAGTGTGACGATAGTAAATACATATAGATAAAATAACATTTAAAATTTGGAATAAAGAAATAATATTTACATATTTAGAGTATATAGTGAAATAGAATTTGTTGGATGAGAAATGTTGTGATGACTCGACTCATTCTACGAGGTCACAAAATAATTGTGTTTTTTTTTTAGTTTTGTTTTGGATATATTTTCACTTAAGATAGTATTATTGTAATTTGAAGAGTGTTCCATAAATTGACACCAGGTGAAGCTAAACGCTTTGGGAAATAAAGTTAGAAATGGGACAAGTTAAACAAATACAAAACTGTAATTTTGTGTTGTAGGAAAATAAGTCAGACAAGTAAGAAGGTATAGGGGGTTGAAATGTCATTATCTATTTATCATCATTATTTATTGACTTATTCAAGAACCCTGTATATATTCCTTTTTGCTAATTGTCCAGCATCATTCCTTTTTTACTGCTATAACTATCTTTTTTAAATTCATAATAAGCAAATTTAGCTTTGACATACTAAATGTTTATATGAATGTAGTTTTTGTCAAACATGTTTTATTTCTATACATGATACACCATTGGACTAAAATGTATCACAGTTGTACTTGCCTCAGCTTTCAGGGAGAGAATTAAGTGACAAGACATACTCTTGATGCACATCAAAGAACTATTGGTTCAGCACATGTTGTACAGTTGTTTGATTAGAAATGTGTATCAACAAAAAACAGGTGCCTGATGTACATTGCTCCTCCACAGGTGTTGGCATGGCCATGCGTCTGATTGGCTCTAAGGCAAGGCCTAGTCAAGAAATTTCAATCGTTGATGACTTGTGGACAATCAAAACCAGCACTCCCCTAAAGAACACACAAATCCAATTTAAACTTGACGTCCCTTTTGAGGAACAGACAGCTGACGGGCGAAAAGTCAAGGTAACTTTTAAAAAAAATGTTGTCTTTTTCTATCAGGGTAAAGACACTCAATGTGTCACATATATTTTAAAGCACTTCAAAAAAAACCATTGCATTATTTAATAGTGACATACTAGAGCAAGAAAAATTCTTAAGTTAAAATAAATGTATGCTTAAGTGGTAGATGTTGTGTGTATAAATGTATGTATGTACTATTTCCAGACAACTTGCTCAGTGAGTGGCAACAAATTGATTCAGGAACAAAAAGGTGACATCTCCAGTACTATCATTAGAGAATTCAGCAAGGAGAATTTTGTTATGGTATGTCTTACTTTAGTTTGTTAAAGATTTGTCATGTTTCAGTACTATCATCAGAGAATTCAGCAAGGAGAATTTTGTTATGGTATGTACATGTCTTCCTTTAGTTTGTTAAAGATATGTCATGTTTGTTTAACCTGTTTCAATCATGATGGGGGAACATTCTTGACTGTTCAAGTTTGAAATTCTGTGTGTCCTTGAGATTGAAACAATGAGCGATCAGGTTCAATCTCTGTCTAATATGTCAGGTGTTGAAGATGTTCTTTGGGCTACATGTTTAGACCAGAGATGTGTAAGTCTTATTTCCTGTCATTTCCTACCAGTAGGTCTATGGCTTGTACTAGACCCACCTTCTCCTAAACACACATCTGTTGTTTTTTTTTAAAATTGATTACACACAATTACAAGGTGATTAATTACACCAGGCAAAAGGATGAAGTGTGTAACAAAAGTTGACCATCAGTGTCCAAAGTAGATAAAAAGATAGTTGGACCTAATGTGTGACATGTTACATTTTTCTTTGACCGTGGGAGATAAAGGACTTGTAACAACTGGTAGCAGTCCTTCTTTTGTCAGATACATTAGACTTTCATTGAAGAGATAAATGAGTTGCTAATCTTTTCATTTTTTAGAGGCTTTAATAGCCTTATTTTCTGTGTTAGCATTTATTAAGAATAAAATTTGATTAAGATAACTATAGACATGTCAGTTAGACAGAGTAAACTACAAACCAAGGTGTCTGATTTTGTTTAGAATGTATGACACTTGTACATGGAGGGGGGGGGGGGGGGGGTCATAAACAGACCATCTACAGACACATCAAGCTAAGGACAGTTTTATTTCTGTAAGATAAACTCAAAACCAATACAACTCCTATGGTCAAAACTGAATAGGTTATCCAATCAAATAATTTCTCATTTATTTTTATAAAAAATTCTATTTTATTTGATCCAGTGAATCATGAGCTTGTCTAACTTTATGGTGTTCTGTCTGTTTTAGTTGGCTTAGTGAATCATGAGTTTGTTTAACTTGTTTCAGACTCTGAAAGCTGTGGATGTAGTATGTACCAGGTACTACAAGAAAAGTCAATAAAAGCTTCACATCATCAATGCCTCTATTACTTTATTTACACTTAGTTTGTATTTATTTTATCCATTGTTTTTTTAATGAAGAAAGGTTATTTTAAAAAATGCCATTGTTACATGACATACTGAAGTTATTGTTTAGGAAACTTTGTGTAGCTAATTGTATAACTAAGGTCATCTTGCTGTTATCTTCAGATAATAAGAGCTCTGGGTTGATTCTTTAATCAGTACTTTCTAGAGCTAAGTACTCTCCTCTTTGATTATTTAATCAGTACTTTCTTTGATTGCCACTGCCCTTCATTGTCTAATTAAAACTAATGGCCACTCTGTTTACAGTGAAAACAATTCTCTCAACTTTTCTTACAAGATTTTTTTAGATTTACAAATGTTTTTGATTTGTTGATTTTATTTTTTATGTTATCTGGTTGTTTTTATCTTTTTATCTGTTATTGTTGAATTTTTATGTTAATGGCTAATTTTATTCCTTTATCTGTCTACACATGTTTTTAAAAAATCCATTCACACTACTATTTATGGAAAAGATTGTAATGTATTTTAAAGGTTAATACTCTATCCTGTACCTACCAATTGATTGATTGGATGTTCACTATTTTGTTCAACGCCTCCTTGGCCAGTATGAGATTACAACTGTTTGAATTGGGTTGACAGATATTATTTTTTGTCTAGTAGTCGTTGTGTTCCAACAAGACTTGTTTGTGTTGATGATTTATGCTTGTTAACAACTAAGATTGAAGTTTTTTGGGCTGTAACTTTTAATTGGACTGTAAGGTGGAGTTCAATTGCCTTAGATTTACTGTCAGCCATAAAACACTGATAAAGGATTGTATCACACAGTTTAGATAGCTGTAGTACTGCAGAGTTCATAGTTTAGTATAGCTAGCTACATAACCACCAGGTTTAATAAAATATATAGCTTGCTTGCTACAGTATCAAATTTGGTGATAGCTGCACTCAGTACTGCTATTGTTACATTACAAGCATCAGTAGTCTTGTATTTGGTTGTGTTTTATGGGAGGTAATTTAATCATTTATTTGTTATCCAACATTACTTGGTTAACTTTCTAGCTGCATTAGTTTATTATACTAGATGGTTGTTGGAAATGTCACCATGTCTTATACACAATGGGTGGGACAGATTTGAAATAAAAGACTTTGTACCCTGCCTAGAAACACTTAAGTTACTGTGCCATTTCAGCTTTTTCTTATTTCTTGACTTCGGATCACTCTGTCATTAATTGTAAACAATTGTTGCTCTTTTCTTTTGATCACTTGTTTAACTTATATCTTATTGTAGTCACTTAATCTAATCATTTTATCCAATCACTTTATCCAATCACTCAACTATTGTAGTCACTTTATCCAATCACTTTATCCAGTCACTCAACTATTGCCTAAACTGAGCTTGTTAGTTATCAAAAGTTTGTTTTAAGACATGTTTGAAATGAGTTTCTGTTAGTGTAACATCTGTACATGTATGTACACAATGTTGTAACATTTGTACATGTATGTACACAGTGTTGTAACATCTGTACATGTATGTACACAGTGTTGTAACATCTGTACATGTATGTACACAGTGTTGTAACATCTGTACATGTATGTACACAGTGTTGTAACATCTGTACATGTATGTACCCAGTGTTGTAACATCTGTCCATGTATGTACACAGTGTTGTAACATCTGTCCATGTATGTACACAGTGTTGTAACATCTGTCCATGTATGTACACAGTGTTGTAACATCTGTCCATGTATGTACACAGTGTTGTAACATCTGTCCATGTATGTACACAGTGTTGTAACATCTGTCCATGTATGTACACAGTGTTGTAACATCTGTACATGTATGTACACAGTGTTGTAACATCTGTCCATGTATGTACACAGTGTTGTAACATCTGTCCATGTATGTACACAGTGTTGTAACAACTGTACATGTATGTACCTTGTGGCTTCAGGTTGTGTTTGAACTCTACTCCTCTATCTCTGATATTTGAAGAACTGCTGACTCTATCAGGTGCACCAACTTTAGCCATCACAACCTTATTATGCCAAAGTGTTTGATCTAAAGCCACATAATCTGACAACACCCTCTAACACAGGGACCAGAATTTTGCCATGTTAAGTTGCCTGTCACCAATGCAGAAAATCCATATTTTTTTAATCTGTTTACACAGAGTCTGTTTTGATTCCATTTTTTGATACAACAATTGTTAAATGCTTGAAGAAATATCAAAGTAGGACATTTTTTTTGTATTGTGCCTTTGATGTAGTCTGCCATTGTTTGCATGCTGTCTAGATATGTTGTCAAGATTCATCTGCTTGTTGCATGCTGTCAAGATTTGTCTGTTTGTTGCATGCTGTCAAGATTTGTCGTCAAGATTTGTCTGTTTGTTGCATGCTGACAAGATTTGTTGTCAAGATTTGTCTGTCTGTTGCATGCTGTCAAGATTTGTCTGTTTGTTGCATTCTGTCAAGATTTGTTGTCAAGATTTGTCTGTTTGTTGCATGCTGTCAAGATTTGTCGTCAAGATTTGTCTGTTTGTCAAACTTGTAGTTTTTGCTTGGACCAAAGATTTTTCACCATCTTACACTCTCTCTTGTCACTGTTTAAGTATTGATGTTTTTTTTAGTGGTATTGTTGGGAATGTTCCAACTTTTTACTTACAACTTTTACTACATGCTGATTTTAAAGCATTACATTACACTTACAGAGAATTGAATACTATTTATTTACATTATATTTAAAGTTTTAAACCTAGATGTTATGAAAATATTGATTTGATTACAGCATACAGTTATGTTAACCTTGACATTGCATTCAGCCTACAATGTTCACAGTTTAGTACAAGTAATATTTTCACTATTGTTTTCCAATTGTTAGAAGTGAATCTGTTCTTTATTGTATGGTTCACTCAACCTTTAGAAATTACAGATTTTACTGTCAACATCTTAAAATATGTGTCACTGAGTAAAATATAATATTAAAACTGGATGCTTACACTCATATGTGCTGTTGTGGTTATGTAAGGTGTGTAGGATTTGATCTTGATGTGGTTGGATGTGTGCTAGGCACTGTTTTTGATAGCTATACAGGGGGTTAGTGTGTAAGGTGTGTAGGATTTGATCTTATACAGGGGCAACCACTCTAGAACTAAAGAAACAGAGTTATCTGTTTTTCTGACGTCGGCCTATGTGGATTGTGTGGTCGGCCTATGTGGATTGTGTGGTCGGCAACTCTTCCCACACCAGCACACACAGAGCTGAGTGGACGATTTCAGACTGGATTTGATGGGGGGGGGGGGGGGTGTCACAATACATCGTCATACTACCGGGACTGTTATAGAAATACTGAGACCGCCCACATACTGGACGCTTCCAGCGTAATGATGACACGTCACCGTAATTAGGAGCAAAGTTCTTTAGTTATCTCAACATCTAGTGGTCGTCAGGGTCAAAGTTCACCTGCGTTTGAATGGTGCTAATACTAGCGTCCAATACTATCGACTGGTTGAACTTTGTCCTTTAATGCTAGGTACAACAATTAAAAATATTTATTTAACCTAGCTCAATAAATACTAACAACTATTTGACCTTTAATGTTAGGCACGTGATTTTAAATTAGATAGCAGCTGTCTTCTAATTTTGATTTAAAAATCCATGGAACTCTAATAGCTGAAATGTATTTTGTCCAGCTAACCAAGTCTAATTAACTCCTGTGCATCGAATGGTGATCTTGAAAAAAAATAATTTAAAACACGTTTTTAAATAGTTTCCCGTAATTTTTTTAAAATGTCGTGCGGCTAACGACTACAGCCGGACAAACGTGTCTTCGAGAAACAAATGTCTGACGCTAAAGTACGCCGAGGTTTCTTTCATTCCACTCACGTAGCTGGGGTGAAAGCCACGGGGAATGATTTGTTGTTTGTGTGTCTCCCACTTCATTCCACGCTTGTTTTTGTGAAAGAGATTTTGGGAAAGGCGGAAATGTTACACAAGTTTTAACGCGAATGTTTCATAGCAATGACGCACATGGAGAGGTGAAATGACGAACATATTGTCTGTCTGTCTGTTTGTTTGTTTGTCTGTGTAGACTGCAAACCCGAAAGTCTCGAGTTCAAATCTGGGTTCAAGTCAGTGGAATGTTCCGGAGTTCACCCAGCTCTGATGGGTACCTAACAAAGTAAAGGCGGAATCTTTATTTATGGCATATTGCGATGCCCATTCATCACTCCCCACCTATTTAGCGTTGAGTCCAGTTTAATAAGTTATTTACACTTGAGATTTGGCCTGGGATGGACTGGCTGTGGCCAAGAGGCCCGGGAAATTTTAAAAAGCCCCCCCCAACCCCTAATTGTGTATTTGATTTCCATCAAAGCCTAAATTGTATGTCTTGGCATGAATAAATTGTAAAATGCCAACAATTTAACATAAATCCAAACTCTAATAGGCCTAGTATCGTTTCCGGGGGCCCCGAACCGGGATTTTTCATGGGGGCCTGCCGGGATTTTAGCCAGTAGACCGCCAGGCCTCGCCTGCTTACGGCGACATCCAAAAGACCGATACGGACAAAAGGCCGACATGGATAAAGGGCCGGCATACCATAAGGCCCACATACATAAAAATACTAATATTGCAAAAAATGTGTTCCTACATAGCTCCTATGTTGACAACCATCGAAATAAGGTGAAACGTTCAAGAGAAGAGACGGTGCTAGTTGCTATCCTTATAAGGTGAAACGTTCAAGAGAAGAGACGGTGCTAGTTGCTATCCTTATAAGGTGAAACGTTCAAGAGAAGAGACGGTGCTAGTTGCTATCCTTATAAGGTGAAACGTTCAAGAGAAGAGACGGTGCTAGTTGCTATCCTTATAAGGTGAAACGTTCAAGAGAAGAGACGGTGCTAGTTGCTATCCTTATAAGGTGAAACGTTCAAGAGAAGAGACGGTGCTAGTTGCTATCCTTATAAGGTGAAACGTTCAAGAGAAGAGACGGTGCTAGTTGCTATCCTTATAAGGTGAAACGTTCAAGAGAAGAGACGGTGCTAGTTGCTATCCTTATAAGGTGAAACGTTCAAGAGAAGAGACGGGGCTAGTTGCTATCCTTATAAGGTGAAACGTTCAAGAGAAGAGACGGGGCTAGTTGCTATCCTTATAAGGTGAAACGTTCAAGAGAAGAGACGGGGCTAGTTGCTATCCTTATAAGGTGAAACGTTCAAGAGAAGAGACGGTGCTAGTTGCTATCCTTATAAGGTGAAACGTTCAAGAGAAGAGACGGTGCTAGTTGCTATCCTTATAAGGTGAAACGTTCAAGAGAAGAGACGGTGCTAGTTGCTATCCTTATAAGGTGAAACGTTCAAGAGAAGAGACGGTGCTAGTTGCTATCCTTATAAGGTGAAACGTTCAAGAGAAGAGACGGTGCTAGTTGCTATCCTTATAAGGTGAAACGTTCAAGAGAAGAGACGGTGCTAGTTGCTATCCTTATAAGGTGAAACGTTCAAGAGAAGAGACGGTGCTAGTTGCTATCCTTATAAGGTGAAACGTTCAAGAGAAGAGACGGTGCTAGTTGCTATCCTTATAAGGTGAAACGTTCAAGAGAAGAGACGGTGCTAGTTGCTATCCTTATAAGGTGAAACGTTCAAGAGAAGAGACGGTGCTAGTTGCTATCCTTATAAGGTGAAACGTTCAAGAGAAGAGACGGTGCTAGTTGCTATCCTTATAAGGTGAAACGTTCAAGAGAAGAGACGGTGCTAGTTGCTATCCTTATAAGGTGAAACGTTCAAGAGAAGAGACGGTGCTAGTTGCTATCCTTATAAGGTGAAACGTTCAAGAGAAGAGACGGTGCTAGTTGCTATCCTTATAAGGTGAAACGTTCAAGAGAAGAGACGGTGCTAGTTGCTATCCTTATAAGGTGAAACGTTCAAGAGAAGAGACGGTGCTAGTTGCTATCCTTATAAGGTGAAACGTTCAAGAGAAGAGACGGTGCTAGTTGCTATCCTTATAAGGTGAAACGTTCAAGAGAAGAGACGGTGCTAGTTGCTATCCTTATAAGGTGAAACGTTCAAGAGAAGAGACGGTGCTAGTTGCTATCCTTATAAGGTGAAACGTTCAAGAGAAGAGACGGTGCTAGTTGCTATCCTTATAAGGTGAAACGTTCAAGAGAAGAGACGGTGCTAGTTGCTATCCTTATAAGGTGAAACGTTCAAGAGAAGAGACGGTGCTAGTTGCTATCCTTATAAGGTGAAACGTTCAAGAGAAGAGACGGTGCTAGTTGCTATCCTTATAAGGTGAAACGTTCAAGAGAAGAGACGGTGCTAGTTGCTATCCTTATAAGGTGAAACGTTCAAGAGAAGAGACGGTGCTAGTTGCTATCCTTATAAGGTGAAACGTTCAAGAGAAGAGACGGTGCTAGTTGCTATCCTTATAAGGTGAAACGTTCAAGAGAAGAGACGGTGCTAGTTGCTATCCTTATAAGGTGAAACGTTCAAGAGAAGAGACGGTGCTAGTTGCTATCCTTATAAGGTGAAACGTTCAAGAGAAGAGACGGTGCTAGTTGCTATCCTTATAAGGTGAAACGTTCAAGAGAAGAGACGGTGCTAGTTGCTATCCTTATAAGGTGAAACGTTCAAGAGAAGAGACGGTGCTAGTTGCTATCCTTATAAGGTGAAACGTTCAAGAGAAGAGACGGTGCTAGTTGCTATCCTTATAAGGTGAAACGTTCAAGAGAAGAGACGGTGCTAGTTGCTATCCTTATAAGGTGAAACGTTCAAGAGAAGAGACGGTGCTAGTTGCTATCCTTATAAGGTGAAACGTTCAAGAGAAGAGACGGTGCTAGTTGCTATCCTTATAAGGTGAAACGTTCAAGAGAAGAGACGGTGCTAGTTGCTATCCTTATAAGGTGAAACGTTCAAGAGAAGAGACGGTGCTAGTTGCTATCCTTATAAGGTGAAACGTTCAAGAGAAGAGACGGTGCTAGTTGCTATCCTTATAAGGTGAAACGTTCAAGAGAAGAGACGGTGCTAGTTGCTATCCTTATAAGGTGAAACGTTCAAGAGAAGAGACGGTGCTAGTTGCTATCCTTATAAGGTGAAACGTTCAAGAGAAGAGACGGTGCTAGTTGCTATCCTTATAAGGTGAAACGTTCAAGAGAAGAGACGGTGCTAGTTGCTATCCTTATAAGGTGAAACGTTCAAGAGAAGAGACGGTGCTAGTTGCTATCCTTATAAGGTGAAACGTTCAAGAGAAGAGACGGTGCTAGTTGCTATCCTTATAAGGTGAAACGTTCAAGAGAAGAGACGGTGCTAGTTGCTATCCTTATAAGGTGAAACGTTCAAGAGAAGAGACGGTGCTAGTTGCTATCCTTATAAGGTGAAACGTTCAAGAGAAGAGACGGTGCTAGTTGCTATCCTTATAAGGTGAAACGTTCAAGAGAAGAGACGGTGCTAGTTGCTATCCTTATAAGGTGAAACGTTCAAGAGAAGAGACGGTGCTAGTTGCTATCCTTATAAGGTGAAACGTTCAAGAGAAGAGACGGTGCTAGTTGCTATCCTTATAAGGTGAAACGTTCAAGAGAAGAGACGGTGCTAGTTGCTATCCTTATAAGGTGAAACGTTCAAGAGAAGAGACGGTGCTAGTTGCTATCCTTATAAGGTGAAACGTTCAAGAGAAGAGACGGTGCTAGTTGCTATCCTTATAAGGTGAAACGTTCAAGAGAAGAGACGGTGCTAGTTGCTATCCTTATAAGGTGAAACGTTCAAGAGAAGAGACGGTGCTAGTTGCTATCCTTATAAGGTGAAACGTTCAAGAGAAGAGACGGTGCTAGTTGCTATCCTTATAAGGTGAAACGTTCAAGAGAAGAGACGGTGCTAGTTGCTATCCTTATAAGGTGAAACGTTCAAGAGAAGAGACGGTGCTAGTTGCTATCCTTATAAGGTGAAACGTTCAAGAGAAGAGACGGTGCTAGTTGCTATCCTTATAAGGTGAAACGTTCAAGAGAAGAGACGGTGCTAG